TACTGTGTGTACTGTATGCTGTTTTTTTTACTAAGGGTTGTGACTGTTTTTACTCCATGCTTTGCAGGGATAAAAAAATAACTTTACATTGCTGTCTGTAAAGACCCTGTGTTTTTACCAACACAGGGCTCCCTTCTGTTATTTTCTCAGACAATCAGTGGGTCCCAGCCATGTGAACGCTCCCTACCTGGAAATTCCAGATCAAGGACATGTATGTGATTTGGTGCAGGAAAGCCGTCGGCCTGCAGTATATCTGCTTGGGCCACTCAGCAAGCAGTTAACAATCAGTCATTGCAAGTAGGCTGTTCGGAACATAGAAATATTTTAGCAATAGTGCCTGCTGTCCCTGTGACATTACAATTGGCTAGAAAAAACAGCAGCTTTGTAGGTTATTTATATAACAACAAAAAGGAAAGGTTAATAGGCAATGAGATCAAACAAATGTAGCCATTGGAATTTCCCACTATACCCTCAGGACGTGAGCATTCTTTCCTTTACTCTATTTAGTCACAGTGACATCTGAGTTCACACAGTTGGCTGGATGTGCAATAAAGATATCTGAGGTCAGAAGTTATTTGTTTACAGGTACTTATATAGCACCATCAATTTACATATACAGGCGTACCTCGGTTTACGAATTTAATTCTGCAGGACTTTTCATATTGTGAAAAATTCATAAATTGAAATGCAGTTTCCCATAGAAATGCACTGAAAACCAATTAATCCGTTCTGGAGGTCAGAAAAAAGTTTAAAAAAAAATCTTTTATCTGTTCAAAACACTTTATAAAGTGCACTTTAGAGGCATAAATACTGTACAGGGACATGATTAAAAATTAATTTGTAAATGTATTCAAAACCAATTAATCCGTTCCGGAGGTCAGAAAAAAGTAAAAAAAAAGTCTTATCTGTTCAAAACTCTTTATAAAGTGCACTTTAAAGGCATAAAGGGACATGATTAAAAAACAATTCATAAATGCATTGAAAACCAATTAATCCATTCGTATTGGGAAAAAATTTGTAAACCGAGCCATTATTTTCATTTGTAAACTGAAAATTACGTTAATCGAGGCGTTTGTAAACCGAGGTACGCCTGTATATATATATATTTTCTACAGTCACATCAGTCCCTAACCCTCAAGGAGTGTACAAACTAAGGTCCCCAACTCATATTCATACATACTAGGGCCAATTTAGACAGGATCCAATTAACCTACCAGCATGTCTTTGGAGTGTGGGAGGAAGCCCACACAGGCACAGGGAGAACATGCAAACTCCAGGCAGGTGGTGCCATGGTTGGGATTTGAACCAATGGCCCTTGTACTGGCAGGTGGAAGGGCTAACCATTTTGCCACTGTGCTGCCCACTAACACTTGTAAATTTACCCTGTCCTGCAGGATACAAAGATGCTAATGTACTAAAGTGGAGATTGCTCATCCTATAGAAAACACTTTATTAAAATAAAGGAAATTTAAACCCCAATTGAGTGATACTTATTTTGCTCAGATGCAATTTTTTTGCACTTTTTTTTAAATCCTTGTTCATATAAGTGTGCTTCTGATCTTCGCCAGCCTCTTTCAGCCACTTCCTGTCTATATGCACTCACTCCAGCACTGACTGCACATTATTGCTCTGGACCAGCTACCTGATAGTGACAACAGTGGACCTTGCAAGTGTAGTATGTGTCAGCATGGCCATCAGTCCCTCCCCTCAAGCCAGAGTACTTGGTGTCATCCTAGACTCCAATCTGTCCTTCCAGCCCAAGGTCCATTCGCAGAAAAACTCATGTAGACTTCACCTCTGCAACATCTCCAAAATACGTCCGATTCTAACTCCAGAAACTACAAAGCAACTCATTCACTCCCTTATTATATCACGCCTCGACTACTGGAACTCCCTCCTCTTTGGCTTACCTCATCGCAGGCTATCCCTGCTTCAGTCTATCTTGAATGCTGTGGCCAGACTCATCCACCTTACTAACCGCTCCGTATCCGCCACCCCTCTCTGCCAATCCCTCCACTGGCTTCCGATTGATGGATAAAATTCAAAATGCTAACAGTGACGTATAAACCTGTTCATAATACTGCCCCAAACTACATCACTGATCTTGTCTCCAAATATCACCCAAAACGTACTTTCCGCTCCTCACAAGACCTCCTACTCTCTAGTTCCCTGGTCTCCTCCTCCCAAGCCCGTCTCCAGGGCTTCCCCCATCCTCTGGAACTCCCTACCACAATCCATCAGACTATCACCTACTCTCCTCACCTTTAGGTGCACTCTGAAAATCTCTTCATGGAAGCCTACCCCGCCCCCTGCTAATTACTGAACTCCTCCACTCTTCCTACCACTCCATCCCCCACAGCTATTTCCTCCTGTACCACTAGCCCCTCCCTCCTAGATTGTAAGCTCCAAGGAGCAGGACCCTTGAACTCCTCGTATATTGAATCGTATTGTTACTGTACTGTCTTGTGTACTGTCTCCCTTTATAATGTACAGCGCTGAGCAAAACTGTTGGTGCTATATAGATACTGTATAATAATAATAATAATTGTAGCCTCAATCAGGAGAACTTAACAGGGTGACATTGGAGGACCACAGTTGTCACACTATAACAGGAAGTGCCGAAAGAAAATGATTGAAAATGATTTGGCATTGGCTGGGAGCGCTGATCGGAAGCCTATTGTCAGACCTTTTTTGGTCATGCCCCTATCACAGAAGCCAGCGAGCTGGACAACTTCTGTCGGACCTTCTGCCATACACATGGGACGAATGTCGTCTGGTTTCTATTGAGCTGGCTGATGCCACACGTGTGTACTAAACTTAAAAGGAGCCAGAAATTTTAGAAAACTAGTAGACTTTCAAAGTGCACTTATCCCGTTCGTCTCTTTACACAGGAAAAGTGCACTTTGAAAGTGATGTATAATTACCAAGATCTGACACCTGGTAATTGTTTACATCCTGCCCAGCAATCCTCTGTCTCCTGGGTAATCTGTCTTTGTCTCTTGGAGAGAGATACACAGGGAGACAACACTGACTTCAGCAGCTGATCGAATAAAAGTTTTCAATAGAAGTTGATCTACCCATCAACTTCTGTCAGGGAGGGCTGTAGTGGATTGTGATAGACAGTCCACGTTTTATTAGATGATCAGTAAAATGACAATTTTACAGTCTTGCTACTTTCTGCTTCTTGCTCTTTAAAATTCTTTACTCTCTGGTTAAACAATCAGATATAGGTTGACAGAACAATGATGATTATTAAGATGGCGCCTTCATGCGGAGTCTCACCCTAGGTGACTCATTAGGAGAAAAGTATCTTTTAATGTAAACAACCCCCATAAAAGGGAATGAGTCTTTTTGGGGATAATGATTGGAAGATATCAACACGGATGGAAGAACACGCAGAAACCCAGTGGACTTTTCACCCAATCAATGTATATGTTTTGCCTGCATCATAAGCCCTATAAATGATACTGTTAGTTCCTCAATAAAACAGAATTTTAGGAAGTTGACAAACTGCAACAGTGTCAGTGTCTTTCTTCCACGTGCACGTAATTCTATATTAATTTGGCTCACTGGTAGATCACGGTAAATGGTCTGTAAGTGACCGAGTCCAAAAAACAGGGCAAACACAGATGGAAATTTGGCCAGTTCAGCAGAAGTTTCAATCTGTGTGTACCCAGTTTGGGGACTCTCTGTCCACCCTTTAATGTGATGTCCATGTGACGGTGCTGGTGTATGAATGGTCAATCACAAAGCACCAACGCTGTTTCATGGGATTTCTGGAAGTGTGTTTCTGTACATGCTGTTCTATACATAGAAGTTATTTCTGTAGACAGAACAATGGGAAGAGCAGAGGGAAAGTGAGAATGAGCGGCTGTAGGGAACGGCATTAAGATGAACCTGCTACTTTGCCCAGCATGGAAAAAGCACAGCTTCACTTTAAAGCAAATCTGTTACTAAGCAAGCCATACTTGTAAAATGAGACTGCAGATACTTACCTTTCCCACTGCCTGAACCATCAGCTGTCTTTATTCTCATGAATATCTGTAGACTATGACCAGTTTTAAAAGGAGAGTAGCCCAGAGTATTGGATTAACCTGGAAAAATGACATGGGAGAAAGCACTTGTGGATGAAAGTGAAGTTAATCCATTTTAATTCTATATATGAAAAAAACTTCATCTTATTCTTCCAGATTTAAATTTTTATTCTATTTTAGTTTTTGATATTGTTTTATAATCGGGAAACAAAAAATAGAAAACATTCAATTTTCCATCCTAACTCCACAGCTCGCCTTTCCTGCTGGTTTTGTTATTCAGTGTCCTAAGTGCAACAGCTATCAGCCCAGTCCTCCACCTGTTCCCCCTTGGTTTAATCCAGCTCGCAGACGCACAGCAGAACAGAATTCCTAACAGATGGGTTTCATAACTCACCCCCTTCTCATTCCTCTCTTCCAAATGTCACACATCTAAGTCTTGATGTCCCCTCTTAAGTTACCCCATAACATGTGTCTACCAAGCGCCCTGCCAGATCCCTGTGTCTTGCCAAGCCTGCCACCTTTTATCTTTTTACAGGGCTCAGATATATTGACATGTCATTTCCTCAAGGCCAGCAGAATGTGACACTAATAGTGTCAGAAATGTGGGCAATGTCAATACTTTTCACATAATATTGTACTAGCTAGACACATTGGGATAATGTCAGACTCAAATGTACATACATTGGACAACTTGGAACTCAATGCCTGACAAGTCTTATGTGCTTATAGTTAAACTATTATAAAAGAAGTATTGGGGCAGACATTTTTGTCCTCATTCTGAAAATGCTAGCTGCTTGGCTATCATACTGATACTCTGGCTTCAGTACTGTAAACTGAAACATGTATGCAGCTCAGAACATTTTCTTGGCTGGTGAGCAGAGCAGGGATACATAAAGGGTTTTCAGGGTGATATGATAAAGTTGTGTCATGATAGTGATATTGTTGGAATTATTATAACGTTGATTATTATAATTGCAAGTTGTTTTTGATTGATACTTAAAAGATGTTTTTATGCTTTGCAGTGATTTCTGGGGAGGCCCTGGTCCTTTGACAGCATTAAAAAGATTGGATGGAAGCCTGAATTCTCCAACCAACCAGGACAAGAAGAAATGGTGCGATTCCACAATCAGATAAATTCTTTGTCTTGTACTATTTCACTGTAGTCAATACAAACTAAGACATACATGTCTGTTCCTTTTAGGAAAAGTGACATTCAGAAGAATACAGCATTGCCAAACTTGGTGACAAAAGCCAAGGTGAGTAGTACCATTGAATAATGGTGATAATTTTACATTGATGATGTTAAAGCATATCTAAACACAGGAACAAGCATTTGATGTATAGCAACTTACCAGTCTTTAGGTTTGGTGGCTGGATTGGTTTTCTTTTTTTTACCTGGTGATCCTGGCACTTAGAAACTTCCTGTCGTAGGATGACAATGCTCTCTCACTGCACTGTATCTATGAAGGAGAAGTGTTGTCACCTTAGAACAGAATACCTCCCCCTCTCCATAACATAGGTGAAAGGTTTTCTGTAGTCCATACATCAATAGTGTCAGGGTCCAGATTTGAACCTGGGACCTCGGCAGCATCTGGCCGTATCTCGTCTTGCTGTGCCACCCGCGGTGCTAGATTGCCCCTGTCTGATCCTTCAGACAATCTTGCTTTGTACCTTGTTTCTGGTGAACCCTAAAAACGGTTTCTTCCTCCAAAGAACTACCTGGTTTAACCCATGTCCCTGCACTTCCCGTTTGCCAGATTATTTCTTTATTGCTGCCATCCATATCTTCTCTATTATTGTTGCTGACTTTTGGCTTGTTCTACAACTATTCATCTGCTTGATCCCAACCTGCAACCAATCATTACCAACTTTTGGCTTGTTCCCGTGACTACACTTTTGCTTGATCTTTACCTGCTACATCTGCTGCCAGACCTCAGCTTGCACATCTCCTGGTGGGTCAACCTTGAGGACCGTGACCTGGCACTAGCATGCAGCAAAACCCATCCCCACTATCAGGAGCTCTGGTGAAGACCAGTTAGTGCTTAGACCACACACCTTGGGTGAGTCAGCATCATCCTCCAGGGTAACCTAGTCCTGTACTTGTCCTTCTGATTGGTGGGAATCCCTCTACTGCTATAGGTCCTGGTCTCCAAGCCTGACCCCTGTCTGTGACAAATAGGCGCTGTAGCAAACTATTCTCCAGTAGCAGCCAAGGTTTCCAGTCATTATTTCACCCTTTTCTGCACTGTTTGTGGTGTGGTTTTATCAAGAGGAGTAAGTCATCACATGAGCACTTTATTGAACTGTATTAATGTTTTTTGTACTTTTTGTGTGATTTTTGTAATCTACTTATAATATTTATGTTATTTTAGCGCTGCACTTTTTTTTCACAAGGTAGGAACCATCATAACTTCTAAAAGTGTTGAAAAGGCAGAGAGCATAGGAAGTTACCAGCTTACAAGATTTCTGGCAGGATCTACAGGGTTTTTTTTTCAGTTATTAAACATTTAAAACAAAATTCAAAACATGCTGTACACCAATATCATCTTAAAAATGCAGTTAGCCTTATTGAACAAGTAAGCTACAGCACACACTGTAAGCCTTCCACCTAAGGCCACCCCTCTAACGCATTTCACCCATAGTAGGACTTAAAGCAGTATTAAACACAAAATATAATATATGGCAGCTTACCATTCATTTGATGAGGTGGCTGCATTGGTTTTATTTTTTAGGCTTTTTCCTTCTGTTTTCACCTAGTGATCTGGCCAGTAACACACCTCCTGTGCCTCCACTCTGGATGAATGAGCACAAGGGGGCCCATGTGGACAGCAGCATTGTCAGTCCGGGGAGAGAGGTGTGTTAGAAGTACTAGCAGGTTTAAATACACTAACAAATTAAAGCTGAACTCCAGGGTTTACACAAATAAATAAAAGCTGATCATTGTAAGCACCTCTGTCTGTTTGTCTCATCCCTGTAACTGCAAGAGAGCTTTTCTGTTGAAAACCAACATGCTTACTGGCTGGATCACCAAATGAAAATAGAAGACAGAAAACCTAAAAAAGAAAACCAATACAGCCATCACACCTAAGAATTGGTAAGCTGCAATATAATAAATGTTTGCTTTTGGGTTTAATACTGCTTTAATCATAGAGATCATTCTCTATGGTTAGGTCCTGCTGTGGACGAAACATGGTAGGGGGTGGCCTCAGGTGGAAGGTTTGCAGTGTGTGTTATATGACGTTTGCTTGTTTAATAAAGCTAGCTGGATTTTTAAGACATCATCGGTGTGCGACCTGTTTCTTTTGAATTTAGGTGCGATGTGGATCATGAATGAGCTCCTGGGCTTCAGCACCTGGCTGGTTCGCAGGATAGAAGAGAACATGGGTAGCTTTGGAGCAGTGGGACCCACAGAGATCGCCTAACCATTTGTAACAAATTGTTTTGAATTGTATACTTAGACCAAATGGAGCAAATAAGAGAAGTTGTTAGGGATTACATATATTTTAAAGTGCAGCAACTTATAGCGATCACATTTCAGCAGTCCAACTGTTTGGACAACACAGGCAATTTCTGTTTCCGGATTTTGGAAAAATTGCGCCCACTGTGTTAAATCTATACATGATGTTACAGATTCAGACAGTGCTTGCAATAATCAAGTACTAAAAGAAGGCTCAGTAGTGAACTGTCAAAAGTCACAGATACTGGTGGCTTCAGTTTCAGGTCTAGGTAACTGTAAGGAGCCTTTGAAAGGAGAGCCATTACAGGAGGGAGAAGAACTTTGTTTTCTGTGTTTATCACTGGCAATTCTCATATCTGCCTTTATAAGTAATAACAGACCTTTTGTCTTTGGGCAGATTGAGAGATGGTCTGATGTACTGAATTCAGTATAATAACCCACACACATGCCTGTATAGGTCAATAGTCAAAAGCATCTTTTACTTTACCTGTTACTCTAATCTGAGTGCTGGTATTTTTACCAACAGACTAGTGTCTTTGTGGCAGCCTGAGTGAGCATTCTCAAGGCATGAATAAATGGACATATTAAAAAACCTTGCCCTTTAGCTGTGGATTCCTTGAGATAATTTGGCGCCAGGATTGTCTGCATGCAGTTCCCACCTTCATACCCCAATACAGTAAATCTAGGTACTTGCATGGCCAGAGCATTCTTGTCTCTAGTACATAATGGATATTATTTACTAAAACTTGAGAGTGCAAAATCTGGTGCAGCTGTAAATGGTATACAATCAGCTTCTAACTTCAACTTGTTCATTTAAGCTTTGACAATAAAACCTGGTAGCTGATTGGTTTCTATGCAGAGCTGCACCAGATTTTGCACTCTCATGTTTTAGTAAATAAGCCCCACTGTGAGCTCGTTGGTTCTGAGCATATATTGATGTCTATGGCCAGCTTCTGACACAATGCTTTTCTATTGAAGCCATACCAACTCTTGTGTCTTACACACTTAAACTAATTATAATAAATATGTAATAAACAACTACAAGAATTATGTCAGTGATGAAAATCTACTGATTCATCCAAGACAACTTAACTGTTTTATACAAAATGTGAGCATCTGATTTGCTGGACATCCAACTAGAGAGATTTAGAGAGACATTTAGGGGTTTTTTTTTTTAACAAAGCTGGAGAGTGCAAAATCAGGCTCACTTCTGCACTAATAGAGGAGATAGGGTCTTCTGAGTGTTCTGATCCCTTGGACTCACTGTTAGTAATCCTCGAGTCCTTTGTCTCCTGGATGGAGGTAGCATTCGGGCGCAAGGTGAGCAAAAAAGGTCCCCTGCCATTACGTGTACAGTTTTCTCTGTGTGTCCAGAGGATGCGATCCCCCATTCCTCAGATAGTGAGGATGATTCCTTTGCTACTGTTGCTGTGCGGGAAAACTCTCTGGTGGTCACGCTTATTACCTCAGTGTGGGATACATTAAAGATTAAGGGTTCTTCTGGGGCTGCCAAGGAAGTCACTTTCCCCTCATTCTATTAAGATTTTTCCTTACCCCGCATATTTGGATACATTTGTCTACAAACACTGGAAACGCTCAAAGCATCCTTTGTGGTCCCAAAATGTTTTTCAGTGCATTACCCCTTTGAGAAAGCCCTTTTGAAGAAGTGGACCTCTCCTCCTGTTGTGGACCTTCCCATCTCTAGGTTGAACAAGACAACCAAGATACCTGTGGAAAAGTCTCCTTTCTTAAAGGACCCTAAACTATGTTTATGATTGCTGGCTTGGCACTGTGTCCAATTTGTTCATGACCCTTACTGATTGGGCTAAACTCTTACTGATCCAGATACTTACTGATTGAGCTAAACTCTCACGCCATGGTTTGGGTAAGGAGCAAGTGTCTCTGGTTTATGTGGAACTGGCAGACCACATGGTCCAGGGCCTAAAGTATGTGTGTGGCACGTCTATGGGTGCAGACCCATTGCTTTCCAAGCTCTCTGTCTTGGCGGTAGTGCTTTGGCGAGTTCTTTAGCTCAAGTGTTGGTCTGTTGACCAGACATCTAAGAAAGCTCTGACAGACTTACCCTTCCAGGGCGAATATCTCTTTGTTACCACACTGGATGACACATCATTAAAAATCTTACCAGTGGAAAGAATACAGTACCTGTATTCATACCCCTTGAAATTTTCCACATTTTGTCATGTTACAACCAAAAACGTAAATGTATTTTATTGGGATTTTATGTGATAGACCTACACAAAGTGGCACATAATTGTGAAGTGGAAGGAAAATGCTAAATGGTTTTCAAAATTGTTTACAAATAAATATCTAAAAAGTGTGGCGTGCACTTGTATTCAGCCCCCTTTACTTTGATACCCTCTCTCTAGTGACTTTGGTATCGTCTCTTCAGGCCAGGAAGTAATTTCTCCCACTCCATTGGACGATGGTCATGACGGATGCCAGACTGTCTGGCTGGGGGGATGTCCTGGAGCTTTTGGCAATCAGGCTATATCTGATCAGGATCCATGTGGACAACGCCATGGCAGTGGCCTATGTCAACCAAGAGGAGTTCAGTGGCTGTGCTGAAGGCCTCACACATTGGGTGTGTTGAACTTCATGTGCCAGCTCTCTCCATTGTGTATATTCCAGGTGTGGTCTACTATTCCAGGCGGACTACTTTAGTTGTCATATGCTGGATCAGGGAGAGTGGTCTGTGCACTCGGATATGTTTAATCAAATCTGTCTGCAGTGGGGCACCCTGGATATGGATTATCTGGCATCCCATCTCAACGGAAAGGG